TTGGCATGAATGCATATACCTGTTGACAAGACATACATAACTGACAGAAAGAATAATTTTGACAGTGTTCAGAGCGGCTCAATGAGAAACTTTATATAATAATTTGAATTTTTTCAGGAAGTTCTGTAATCCTTTTATATTTTTTAAACACAATTTTGTGAACTTGGGTTTCCAAACTATCTTAGACCCATTTCTAAAACTTTTTTTTCCCTGTCAAATTAGTTCCAGGTCAGGAATGAGCATATTGTGTGTCTCCATCGCTGTACTTTAATACGGAATAAGATTGAATGTGCCCCGCCCTAGACCTCAACCTGGCTTCTTACTCATCTCCTCCCTGGGAATTGCATCAAAATGCAATCAGTGATCCCTTCAAAAGGGCCTCCTGAATTTAAAGTACACTCATATTGTAGAATATTAATATTTGTAAGCACTTAACTAGTGAACCAGACAAAACAGAATGATAAATCTAGCAATATCGTTACTGTTGTTTACATTCTGCTTCTTAGGTTGCATTAAAAGATTGGAGGCCAAATGTATACCAAGCCAGTGTTTCTACAGAGCAACTATTTTTCCTCAGTGTTTCTATGGTTTACAATAATTGGTCCAAAGGGAGCTATCTGGTTTTAATGTGTTTTTACTCAGCTGTTTGACAGTTGTTGCCCGTAACTGCAAATTATTGATAGATTGATGGCACCATATATTCATGAATTACATTCACAGTCCTTCATGATTGGAAGGAATCAATAATTCTTGAAAAGATGGAAACAAAACATTTCTCTAAGGAATAATATCTAATTTGCATTGAATAATTAGCTCATCATCTTTCTTTTCCCAGAAACTCACTGAGATATGGGATTTGAGGCTAGTCAAAAATCTCTGTACCCTCCTTATAGACAGACACAATGAGGTTACACTAAGAGATGCATATTAATTTTTGCATTCTTTGTAGATCTTCGGCAAACTTATCTTTGAAAGTCTTTGAAGATGGTAGCTAATTTAAACAAAGTGGGTTCTGTGTACTAGAAACCTCTATTAAACACGCGTTAAATGTACCTGTTCTACTGATATTTCACACTGATGGATAAAATTTCAATGACTTTTTTTTTTCCCAAATGGTAGACGTGAGTCATTTTTGTCCAGATGTAACTCAAAGTTGTTTCACAGCCAGATGCTGATGGCATTCGTTGCCATGAGTAGTTCCTTTTAATTTAGCAGATAATTGTGAAAACATTATCAAAATATTTTTGCATGAGTTAATAGTTGATTGTTGTTCAAGAGGCATTTACATCTAGGAGGCAACTCTTTGTGTCTATATTCCCGGTGTTAAAACCAAGTTTTAATGCCTTTATACTTGAAGCATTTTTGTGTGTGTGATGTTAAGATTGGAACAATATTCCCCTTTTTATCTTTTGTTAACTAGGAGAGCAAGCTGAAGAGCTGTCATTGATAAGTCCTTGAATGTACTTTGATGGCTTCTTATTAACCCTTGGAGTCTGTGACTGCTCTACAACTTCTTCTTCTAAATGCAAAAATTTATATCCCCTCATGACCTTAAAGCAACAGCAGAATGTGATTTTGTAAGACATTAGCATAATGGAACCTTTTCAATAAAATGATAAATTGAGCCCATCTCAAGAAAACAGAACACACACGGGTAATTTATTGTGGTCATTGCCACGTGGAGGACCCCATTCATATCATGCTTTTAGCTCTGATGAGAACAGTGCTGTTCTTCCGATCCTACAAGTCTGCAAGATTGGCTGAGAAATGTTTTTTTTCCTAATGGAACCAGCAGCACTTTGGGGACTAGGCATCATTATATGACATAATTATCTCACAAGCATGTCTAATTATTCTATTGTTTTCAAGGCTCGTTCATGTAAATGTAAGTGTTGGATGTAATTCCAGAAGGTACAGACCCCTTTGTCCTTAACCATGAAGATGCAGTTTTCTACAGTAATAAGGTTGATTTCCATTTTGCGACAGAAGGCAAAAATGCAGTCCTTCTTTACACCTGCCTTTCCGTAGGTGTAAAGCGTACAACAGGTGAAGGTAGACGTGAGTCATTTTTGTCCAGATGTAACTCAAAGTTGTTTCACAGCCAGATGCTGATGGCATTCGTTGCCGTGAGTAGTTCCTTTTAATTTAGCAGATAATTGTGAAAATGTTACCAAAATATGTTTGCATGAGTTAATAGTTGACTGTTGTTCGAGAGGCATTTACATCTAGGAGGCAACTCTTTGTGTCTATGTTGCCACTAAGTGGTTTGTGTACTTAGGTACATTTTACTTGGGAAGGATCCACTTAGAAAATGAAGGAACAAGTTACCTCAATAGCACATGTTGCTCTGACTGCTAAGAGGTTCACGTCAGGCACTTTGCTTTCTGTATGAACTGAGCAACTTTCTCAGCTTCTGGCCTGCATTTTCTCCCATTGGAAAAAGGTGACCAACCTTAACACTGTGGAAAACTGCATTTTCCTGGTAAGGACAAAGGGACCCGCACCTCCTGGATTCTATACTTAGAATGAGGAATCACACATCCAACAGTGAAATGAGGTCGCCCAGTGTGTGCATGAGTCTTTGTGTCCATATTTTGCTCTGAGTACCAGGAGCGTCAAACTCAATGTAAAACTTGGTGGTAATTTGTAGGTTGTGAAAAATGTTACTTTTTCTTCTCTCTTTATGGAATTTCTTATTTTAAAAGTGTCTTTTGTGGCTCCTTAATATGGGAGTTCATTTTAGAATTATCCATGGAATATGTTATAATTGAATAAATAAAGTAGTTTGAAATATAGACTGATAAAGTATGCAGTCTATATAACTGTCGAGGGTGGAGGGAAGCCAGGAAATAGAGCTTCTTTTAAATTCCTTCTAGAAAGAATTCTGCTTTACTAGAACTAGATAAAGTGACTTCATCAAAGTTGAAGGAAACCTGACATATCTGTGTTAGATAATTTGCTGATATAATTGAGAAAACACTGAATTTCATGATAATTGCTACATATAGAATTCAACAGCCTGTATATGTATGTTGGATATCATCAGACACAACATATTTCTATTAAAATGTAAACATTTTTGCGATGAAGCATTTAAAGTTTAAAATAAAGAAACTTACAGTAGCTTATACTCTTGAATCAAGTAGCTTTCATTTAGGATAGGGAAATACTTTTCCCACCAAACCATACCTATCAATATAAGTAGGGATAAGACCTAGATATTATAATTTGTCTTAAAACACTTTAACTGCTTCTCACTTCTCTATCACAACCTCTCTAATTCATTTATCTCCATAAAATGATCTTATCTCTGCTTGAACTCGTTATACTTCTTATTCAGTTGCTTTGTGTAGTAGTTTATTATGTCAGTTCTGTGTCTTTTTTAATAAAGTTATGAATATCTGGATGCATTTCTCAAATACTGTTTGCATTAGCAGTTATATATTATATTCTTAAAATTTCATGCTATTTACTTATAATAAAATTCTTAGACAATTCTAAATAATGTAGAAAACCTCTTAAGGAAATCAAATTCCAGTTGTCTTTTCCTACGTAATGGACTAAAATAATAATGATGATGATAACAATAATGGTAAAGGCATCATAAAAGACATTTGACAGAATTGCAGTGGAAGAGGAAAATGGGTCAGAATAACTTGTTAAGTTTTAATCAACTTTAACTTACAGTTTCTAATTTACATTTCTAACATTGAAAGGAAATTTAAGAAGTCAACTCCAAATCTTCTTGAGCATAAGATGGCTAAAGTGCCTTGAGAGATGGAGGCAGAGCAGTTCTCTAATCTTCACCACAGGGATTTTTTCACCTTCTTCAAAACATCATTCTAGATGTCTTATGCTTCCCCTTTTTATTAGTGTATATGAGTGAAAATTCTCATCATATATGAAAAGAGGACTCCAAATGTGTTGAACTGAATGGTACTTCGGTAGGTAACTCTACTCTTGAGTATTGATTTATTTCTCTCTCTTTTCTCAATTTTAATGGGCTCACCCTAATGCCTTAGCATTTACTCTTCACTGGGATTTGGACGCAATTACACAGCTACAGGTTGACTTCCATGGTCTTGATTCCCTTGCTGAGAATAAGGAGGTAAATGATCAGTAAGATTTTTCAATGCACAGGACAACTTTGCATAGTGTTGTTGTTACTTCCTACAATTAATATTTCTATATTTATTAAATACGCTTCTCCCACAGGCTTTATTTGCTAGCCTAATTTTTAAAAATAGTAATATGTTAATTGCTTCTAATCAGTAGGTAGCCATGAGACACATAGCAATTTTTCTTTAATATCTCTAAATGTTTCCCAAATGATGAAAATCCTCTTAAAAGTAAAAATATTACTGCCAGTCCACACATAGGGTGTGTGTGGGAAGGAAAGAAAGAGACTGAGAAATTTTGGAGCGTCTGTTCTGTGACAGCTTTTATACTGCAAGATGTCATTTGCATAGTCTTCAGAAACACTTATTGAATGATAGAATAATATACTTTCAATGATTTTATTTAAAAAGAAAATGTTAATTGTTTTTCTCTGGCTCCCCATTTGCTCAGAGCTGCTGGGGAGCTTCCCCCTGACTCCTCGGAACAGACCTCAATGGCTTGGTTGGCAAAGTGTCATTCAAACCTGAGCATAAAACCTGCCGGTTGGGATTATTTACACTAGTCAACAAATACAAATTTTTTAAATGTCTTAACCTTCATAAAGATATACTATGATGTGACCTTGGACCTGGCCATAGATCTCATGAGGACACTGTAGGGATATAGTGCTCATGCTATGACATTAGGAAGATAACTTCTGAACACAGACTGAAGCCAACATCTGGGAAGCCTGGGTTATTGTTTTATTTTTGTTTTGGCTTTATTGTTTCAAGACAGCTAAGTTGTGCAGAGTAGTGATTGGACCAAAATATTAAAAATATAAAAATAGTCAAGCCCACTGGAGGCCATGAGAATGCTCGTTTCAGTTGGTGGTCTTGGTGGTCTTCTACTCATGTCCTTCTCCCTGATGAGCTTTGCACTGTCATGCCTGGGAATGGGCTGCAAGCAGAATTCTCAAGTGGCTTTTGCTCTATGCTGAACATAGTCTTGAAACTTCTCACCCATTTGTCCTGGGTTTTTTCCTTTTCATGGGTTCTCCTGACATGCTGTTGGGACACTCCTCAACTCCCATGAAGCCGAGATGCCATGAGTGGAAGTGGGTTGGATCACAGCTCTGTGCTGCGTTGGATGGCTGACTCTGGGCTTGCTGCTTAACCATTCTGGGCCTCTATTTAATCATCTATAAAATGGAAAAGATGAAAGCTTTACCTCATAAAATAATATGTCTTTTAGGGATTTATGCTCAAATATCTTGCATCACAAAATAGTTAAAGAGGTTTGTAGGAATCTATAAAATGTAACAAAACAGAAGCAAATGAGAGTCAGGAAAAATATAGATAAAATAGAAAATAAAATGTGGGGAGATGAGTCTGCCCACCTGCAAGCTGTGTTCCTGCTCGGTGAGAAAGGCTTGTGGACAAATGTGGTTCTAGTTTTCCAGGAGATGAGCTTGCCATAGAGACGTAGTACTACATAACATCAAATCCATAGTGTACCTAGTATAACAATTGTCTTCAGTGATTTATCTAAAATATTACATTTAAGCATTTCCCTCGTTCTCTGAAGTGTACATTCAGAGAAGTATGCTAGAGTTTTCTCCGGTCACTTGTTGGATACTTGTGCGTTTCATTTTGTGCATCATTAAGGAAATGTCAGTGATCATGGTAGTCTCAGATATCACAGTGAGTAACGCCTTCTGTCAGTGGTGCACAGCCACGACCAGAGGAGACCCCTGTTGGGCACTGCACATGTGGCCGGTGCCTCAGCATCATCCTTTGCTTCCTGTTCCACGAGCCTTGTTGCCCACACAGCCGTGCCCAGCACATTATACCTCCAGGTGACTCTGAGCAATGTCTGGGGAGTGGATATTTCAGAGTCTACTCTGAGTCTTTTTTCTGTTTCTCTGAACAACCGGAAAAACAACAGAATATTCTGGGTCACAACCAATGCAGCAGAGTGAACGGAAGGATGGACTTTGGGGTCAGTCAGGTGGTGGCTCCTGGCCCAGTCATCTGGCCTCATAGAAATCCACTTAACTCCCAGGGTCTGGGCTCCTTTTCTATAAACAAGGAATACTGACATCTTTCTTAGGTTTTTATTTTAAGAATTATGTGTATAAGTTGCTTTGTCTAGGCTTTATCAGAATTAGGGCTTATGTCTTCATTACAAGCTATTAACATATTTATGTATCATCATGTGTCACTTAATGACAACATACTTCTGAAAAACACATGGTTAGACAATCTTCTTGTTGTGCAAACAACATAGAGTGTACTTACACAAGCCTAGATGGTATAGTCTACTGCACACCTGGGTTGTACAGTGTAGCCTGTGGCTCCCAGACTCCAAACCCGGACAGCATGTTTCTGTACTGAATATTGTAGGCAACTGTAACACAATGGCGAGTATTTTTGTATCTAAACATTACAAAGTCGGGGTAAAAATGCAAAATACCACCATAGACACATGCCAGGATAGATGCAAATTATGTTGCGCTGCACATGACTGTATGTTATAGATTGAAAATACCGAACACATATACAAGCCATAATTATTAACCCCTTCCTTTTGCTGATGAGGATGTCCAGAGGAGTGCAACTACAACTCAGGTTTCCCATGTCCTCTTCATGGGTCCTCTATAACCTACCACGTGCTCTCTACCTGGATAATGTAATATATGGGTTCTTGCATCTATGTACAGGAACAAAGGAGATCCTCTGGGCCCTGGGCTGGGACTGCCCATTTTCTTTCCCACCAGATAGCCAGTATGCATCTGGGAGAGATAATGAAATGCACCCTCCTCCCTCACTTTTTTTTAAACCAAATATCTGATGTTAGGATATCAGATACGTGTTTATGACAGTTCATGTTCACGGTGAAACAAAGCACCCTAAACCCATTGCCTTTTTAAAATCCTTTCAGTAACCGCTTGCTCGTTGCTAAAAATGTTCTTCCTTAAAACTGGGATGCCATAAACAAGTTTCCCTTCTCCACCTTCTTTTTGTGATTGACAGGCAGAACCCAAGAAGTATTTTTAACAAACTTATTTCTAGTCATTTGGCTGCCTTTATTGTTGATAGGTAGGGCACTTCTCCTTCCTAACAAAGTGGTTCAGAAGAGCACTGATGCATTGCAAACATTTAACAGACCACTGGAGATAATGTGCACAAAGAAACTTTCAATAATATAAAGAAGAAAAGCAAGAAATCATTATGTAAATTGTTTCACTTTGTGGTTAAGTGGTGGTGGTGCTGCTGTTTTGTTGTTGTTTTTATTCGCTTCACTGACTCTTTTTATGTACTAGGTCTTGCCCTATTGTTTGCATAAATTTCTTTCATGATTTAAAATTCTTTTTGTTTTCTGATAATCACATTTTTTTTCCCATGCTGAATGTACCTTTCCAAGTCATAAAGGGGAGGTCACAAGAGACTAAGGAACAACCACCAAAACTATTCTAACCTCTTAAAAAGCATTTCTCATTAAAAAACCTGTCAAATAAAAAATAAATCTCAATTTAGTAAGAGTAGACATTATTAGAAAGGATTATTGCAGGGGCTTAGGGATGGGCCATTGGAATAGTGGAAGGAGGGTGGGTGCAATAGAAGAATGCTCTGACCATAAGATCTGAAGGCATCTCAAGGGTTAGGCAAAAGGGGCTTTCTTTCCTTCTTTCTCTCTCTTTCCTTCCTTCCTTCCTTCCTTCCTTCCTTCCTTCCTTCCTTCCTTCCTTCCTTCCTTCCTTCCTTCCTTTCTCTCTCTGTCTTTCTCTTTCTCTCTCTCTATCTCCCTCCCTCCCTCCTCTCTCTCTCTTTCTTCCTTTTTTTTGAAACGAAGTTTCTCTCTTGTCAACCAGGCTGGAGTGCAATGGTGCGATCTCAACTCACTGCAACCTCCACCTCCCAGGTTCAAGTGATGCTCCTGCCTCAGCCTCCTGAGTAGCTGGGATTACAGGCATGTGCCACCATGCCCAGCTAGCCTAGCTAGGTGTTTTTTTTGTTTTTTTTTTTTTTGTATTTTTAGTAGAGATGGAGTTTCACCATGTTGGCCAGGCTGGTTTCAAACTCCTGACCTCAAGTTACCAGCCCATCTCGACCTCCCAAAGTGCTAGGATTGTAGGCGTGAGCCATCGCTCCCAGCTTTGGCTTTCTTTTATCCGGGGGAATAAACAAGCTAGTAAGAACTAGTGTGGAGGAGTGGGATGCAAGGGAGACTTATGGGATAGTAAATGAGAGAGGGTTTTACCCTAAGGCTAGCTTCTTCTCAGGAGAGGCTCTCTGTTGGCTGGGGTTGAGGTCAGGATCCTGAGGACAGAGAGAACGTTCACCAAATTTAACCAACAAGCATTTCTAATTCATCAGTAGGAACAAGCAATCCAGCTAATCATTGTTGAGGCAAAGGATGGGAATTGGAAGTCTGGCCTTGTCCTGTGTAGTCAAGGGGTACAGGTGATATTAATGTCCCTTCCAGTTCCAAGTGCAGTTTAGTGCTTTGGGAATATTATTCAGAGATTGTCTTATAGCAGTTACATTTTCACCAGTGTTAAGTGATGCGTCTAATTCATATGGAGAAAGGGGATTGTTGGCAGTAAGCTGTTTTTGATCACACTGAAGGGTGAGGAGTATTTCTTTCTTTCTTTTTTTCTTTTTTTTTTTTTTTTGAGACAGAGTCTGGCTCTGTCACCCAGGCTGGAGTGCAATGGCGCAATCTCGGCTCACCTCAAATCTCGGCTCACCTCAACCTCCACCTCCTGGCTTCAAGCAATTATCCTGCCTCAGCCTTCCAAGTAGCTGGGATTACAGGCACTTGCTACCATGTCCAGCTAGTTTTTGAGTTTTTTTAGTAGAGATGGGGTTTCGCCATGTTGGCCAGGCTGGTCTCGAACTCCTGACTTGGTGATCCGCCCGCCTTGGCCTGCCAAAGTGCTGGGATTACAGGCATGAGCCACCGCGCCTGATCATAAGGAGTATTTCTTTAATTTTCATTGTTTTCCAGGAGCTCAGACCTCAAGCAAAATTCAATCTTGACAATATGCATTCTTTATATGTAATGTTCATAGATAGCTATAATATCATTTGTCCATAATATCAGAATGATGGGGTCATGTCTTAAGACTCATTTATGATAGTGCTACAAGCCACATAGATATTCAAACAGTATTAAACATTGCCTCCAGATAAGAATATTACTTGGCTAAAAAACAATAAGGCAATATAATTATTACACAACTGGAAATACATTCAGATTCCCAATTTACCTCTCACAGTAGAACTTTTAAAAGCAATCTGGACGGTAGGATTTTGTGGTAAATTTTGGTTCTTCATATTTTGAATTTCAAAAAAATCTCACGTATTAAAGGACAAATATCCTTTAAGCTTCTCATTCAGCTAGTTTCCTGTGTATAAGAAAAATAACATACTAATCCTTTTATACCATTTTTTTTCATAAAGTTATATTTTATTCGCCTAACACTGGTAAAAATGTAACTGCCGTAAGAGAATCTCTGAATAATATTCCCAAAGCACTAAACTGCACTTGGAACTGGAAGGGACATTAATATCACTTACACACCCCCCGCCAGTTGTTTTTCCAGATGAAAAAACTGGAGGCACATTGTGCTGATGTGCTGAAGTTCACATAGCCTGTTTGTCATGCTGTCATTTCTCCCACAGGAAAGCTCTTCAAATGATAACACAGACGGTGTCTGTCATCACAGTCTGCCCTCTATTCTTGGTTCTGCATCTGCAGATTCAACCAATCCATAAAAAATATTTGCTGGAACAGCAGTAAAATAAACAATAAATATAAAACATAATGCAAATTTAAAATAAATATGAACAAGTATTAACACAGCTCTTACCTTTTAGTAGGTATTAAAGTCATCTAGAGAAGATTTAAAGTATAGAGTAGGATGTTTATAGGTTATATGCAAATACTCTGTCATTTTATATCAAGGACTTGAGTGTCTGCAGACTGTCGTGTCCATGGGCATCCTGGAACCAACCCTCCTCAGATCCTCAGGGACGACTCTGTATTATGTTATGTAACTAAATTAAAACTTATGACTTGTGCCATTTCTTCCCTGGTAAATCTTTTCAGTGAACCCACTGAATCAAATCTTTCAGCATGTAAAATGAACTGAAATAAATCAAAATTCAAAATCCTAAATCCAGCACATGAGGCTCACTAGGACCTGGCTGCCACTTTTCCTCAGTTCTCTCCTCCCACCCCTGCCCCAACTCACTGTGGCCCAGCCTCGATATGATACCAGGGGCATTCTCCCTCTGAGTCCAAAACATTCTTAGCTGCAAATTCTCGTGTACCTGTTCTCACTTTCCCGTTGTATCCTGACAACACATTCTCTGCTTTTTCCTCCCATCCTATGTTAGGTTCAGTACTGTGATCCTGAGCTGCATCTTTTTCTTGTCCTCGTAGAACGTGTCACGATCACATATTTGTTTTTTGTCAGCGACTCTTCAGTATATGTCTTAGTCCATTTTCTGCTGCTATAGTAGAATACCACAGTCTGGATAATCTATTAATAAAATAAGTTTATTGGGCTCATGCTTCTGGTTGTTGGAAAGTCCAAGAGCATGCCACCGGCATCTGGTGAGGGCCTTTTGGCTGCATCACGTGGTGAGAGGACAAGAGCACGCATGTTCGTTTGGATTTCCTTCTCTTCCTATGAAGCCACCAGTCCTATCAGGGTGACCCCACCCCGATGACCTCATCTAATCCTAGTTACCTCCCAAACGCCCCACTTAAAATCAATATGTGAACTTGGGGATGATGTTTCTAACCACATGAAATCTGGGGGACATATCCAATATATTTTGAATGTTTAAATGAATGAGTGTATTCAATATAATGGCTTCCCCAAAAGTGGAAATTTTTTTTGTTAATTATTTTTTAATTGACCATCTTTGTCTATAAAATGAGGAGGAGGTTTTTTCTCCTCAGATATTAGAGTCATTTTAATGGCTTCACATTATTTCACTTTCCATTAACATAATTGAGACCATTAGTTTTTATCCAGGTTTTTGCATTGCTAACATCAGTGAACATCTTGTACCTGCGTATTTGTATACCATTTCCTTAGCATAAATTCCTTCAATGTGAATTATGAAATATGCATTATC